TGACACATCAGTCACTCTACCACTGGAGGGAGTCTGGTCACATATCCTTTGATGTGACTTTTACTCTAATAATTTCCTGTTCTTCACTGGGAATGAATTAGAAACCCTACTAGGAATGTGAATTGGTTTAACATAATCTGATGGTCTTAGAGCTGTTTTCAAATTTGTTTCTTTTCGTTTTTATTTTATTTTTGTTTTGTTTCATCGTCACTAATAAAAATTTACAGTATCTCTACAGTCATATCTGGGTCAAAGAAATGAATACAGAGATCACATATGGTAGTGCAGAGCTGTCTTTAGGAAAAAATCATAAGGAAAAAAATTGTTAAATCGAGAACAGAGAACGGTTCGGATGCAAACACCTACCCAAAGCAGGTATCAAAGTCACAAGGCACATGAAATGCAGCAAACAGTAGATGTGAAGCAAAAGCTGAAAAGAGCTTGCAAGGTTAAGGCTGACAAGGATATGTCTGATGGGATAGGAAAATGTAAGCAAAGGATAGAATATTGTAACTATCCTTTTAAAATTCAGATTTACAGTTTCCATTTATTACTCATGAAGTTAAATTGACATAAGAAGTATTTACCAAGTAAATAAAATACAACTGAAATGAAAAAAAGGATAAAAACATTGGCAAAAAATAAAATAAAAAGCAGTTCACCTCAGGAATGTATGCAGAGAATAATATTCCATTTATAATAATAATTATTCTTTATTTTGTGTCAAAACTTGAGAAAAGATACGTAATAATTCATTTAATTATTTTAACAATCCTACAGGATCAACATTATTATATCCATTTAAAATGAGAAAGCTTGAGGCTAAACAAAGGTTACGTAATTTGCTTAAGATAACAAACATATCTATAAAAAGGTCAATATTCTGTAGAGGTCTTTCTGATTCTAAGATGGTATTACCACTATGCTATATGCTTACCAGTGAGACCTCACATTCCTGTACTATTAAAGGTAACAGTTATGGGAACTCCTCCTAGATGTGCGCTTCAGAAAATGTCACTAAGGATTACCTAATACAGCAGAGATAAACTAAACATGCTACTAAGCATTTCATGTTACCTTACGTTTCCAAAGTTAAAATTTATTTAATTCACATGTCAATAAGCATAAAGAAGGAAGTCCCAGCTGATTTATAACTTAAATAGATAGAATAATGTACAAATTTAAAGAAATTTATCATTTTTTAACTATGTAAAAAGGAGGAAACCTTTCATTTCCTCCACAAAACTATTGTTAGAGACAAAGACAGGGAAATCTGTCAGTGTCTGTATGTACAATTTCTTTAAAGCATGTTCCCTTGCTGACTACTAGCATCATAAACTCCATGAACCATACCTAGAGAGTCATAAAATGCCTAGATCATGGAAATAATACTGTTAAAGCTAGGAAACCTTGGGGATGGATTTAAATGCTATACAACAAATTATTTTTGTATTTTCTCCCTTACTATTATACTTACAACAGACACATCAGTCACACAAGAGTACAGGGAGCTAGGATGCATGTAAAGCAACATATGGATAAATCATTCCTTTCAGCAAGAAAAGAAAGCTTCTATATACATGTGCATGATAAAAACAATGAAAAGTACAAGTAATGTAGAATTTATGTGTGAGTACGGGCTATTTTATCTTATCATCTGTAAATTAGAGTCTGAAGTATCTATATGAAGAAACAAACTGGAGATGGTTTCTCATATTATTGATGCTTGCATATGAGAAGTTAATGCTTTTTTTCCTCTTCAGTTTTTTTGAAAGCCACAATTAAAGTATATTACATATGCAACTTGAGGATACTTCAACACAGCAGAAAGGAGGAACAGAAATACTCTTGTACTTGGAATAGAGATTATGCAAACTACTATATCTACAGCACATCTACCTAGCTTTCCCAATAGAAGTCTATCAGGAATCATCATTTTGAACTACAAGTAACATCCAGGCAGGGACCATGAACTAGGAACCAAAGATCACATGCCTAGGATAAAAGCACAATGAGATAATATGTGAGTGTATAAGAACCCTCTAACTTCATTAAAAAAATTATATGACTATTTCACAGACTATTAAATACTTTGAGAAACTATGAAATAAAGAAACATCGTGAATTGTAACTAATAATGCACATGTTAATTTATAAGAAAACAGGCAAGTGACAGACAAAAAAATATAAAAGAGAGCCAAGGAAAAATAAGGCATACAGTATGTTTACCACAACTATAGCTCTTAGTTGATGTAATATGCAAAACATCATAAAATTAAAACATCTACAAGTGGAGAGGGTAAAAGGAAAGTATATTTAATAATAATATGTTCTCCTTTTCTGTTTTATTCCACTTCCAAGAAATTCATGTTGCTCCCATTTTTCCTATTGCCAGGTCAATAGAGTGAAATAGTGAGAAAAGTAAAGAGCAGATAAGACAAATGTGTTTCTATGATCATAAAATTATGACAAACAGCACTTACTATGTACTTAAGCACATAAATGTTTTGCCACATCCTAATCTTTCTATGTTATATATTTACAGAAGTAAAATGATGAGACCTGAGAAGAAGTGAAAGGTTGGAAGTGAAGGAAGCAAACAGCATCTATCTAGCTGAAAATTTCTCAATATAAAATTATGATAAATAAGGTCTGGTTGACAAATTTAATGCAACATTTTTAAATTGTTCTATAAAACAACTATAGTACCTCTTTTAAATTATTCTTATGAAGTCAACTTAACATTTTTGGAATTGACATGTATAGTCACAAAGCAAAAAAGTAAACATTTAAACATCTCTGAGCAACCTATTTCCTAACTTTACACATCTTTTAATAGAGGCGTAGGTAGATTTGTAGGTATAAGCTATTTTATAAAATGAAACCCTATTTAATTTATATTTGATCAACTAAAAGTCTGTAAATAAGTAGTAATTTTCATAGATATTGCCTAGTGCCAGCACCCCACCTCAAAATTAAATGTTACATAACTTACTCATTTTTCAGAATCAATATTGTGAACTGATACAACTAAAAAATACCACCAAAATATAATAGCTACCATTCTAAAAGAGACCACAATATATGCAGCATTATTTTTGCACTCTACACTATTAACTTTGTTAAGTTCATAAAAAAGTAAAAAAACATTATTTTCCCGAATATCTCTAAACATATGGTAAAGGCAGTATTAAGTATTAAGATTACTGGGTTCTGAGGAGCAACCGTGAATTGCCTATTTCCAATTACTACAGTAATGAGTTTTTGGTATATCATTGAAGTAAATGAAAATGAAATAAAATATTTACAATGGTAACATTACAAAAAGTCATTTCACAGAAGCATGAACTATAACCCACATGACTTCCTATGTGGTATATTAAAAATAATCTTTATAGTCTAATAATGCAAGCTTATATACGAAATACCAAAATAATGACTTTTAGATGCCATAAGTATGTGCACCTATTATGGTGACCAAAATAGTCTAAGGATAAAGGAAATACTATAAGCAGCATTTGCGAGAGTATTTATTTATCCATACTACACCTATTTCAGAAATTATTTAAAGTGACTCTGGCTTCAAAGAACAATTATTCTGTGTCCTATACTTATTAATAAACAGAAAATCAATGTTCAGTTGACCTAAACTGTACTGTATAGCAACACCTAACCAAGTTACTACCATGTAAATGACTTCGGAAACAAGACCTATGTCCTCTATTTGGCTTACATACTGATAAATTTTACAACCTTATTGTGAGCACATCAGTATCTCTACATAGCCTGAGCTTAAAACATGTTTAAATCACCAGTTAAACATTATAAAGAGTTAAACATTAATTTAATTTACAGCCAAAAGTGTTCAGGGTCATCTTGACAATATAAATTGTTTTTTTCTTTCTCACAATTGTTTCTCCTTTCTCACATATATTTGGCCAGTGGTTACTAATCAGATGACTTCTTTACAAATGAAGTTTTATTCCGCATTACTGAAATAGCAGTGACTCTGCAACTACTCCGACTAACACAGAAGCGCTAGAACTACCCACACTGTACAGGGTACTAGCTTCTCTGTAACGCTCAGACCTGTCTGCGTCCCATCAATTTCCTTCTTTGGGAGCTGGTCAACTTTAACAATAGAAGGCACCGTATAATAATATCAAGGCACATATTCTGAATCACAGCAGATATGCGAGTCCACTTCCTTTACAGATTGTTTTTTCCTGTCTTAACTTTTTATTTTTATATTAAATTTTGGGGGTGACAATGGTTAATAAGATTCTGACACCTGGGCAGATTTTTCGCTTCTGAATGACAGCCCCAAACCACTAGGCTTGTGGCTGTCCTTGGTGCTGAAACTCACTCTTTTTCTGCATTTTCACTGAAAACAAACAAACAACAACAAAACCCCACAAAAAACCCTGTGGTCCCAATCCCATTTGGAGAGGATAAAAACAACTCTACATTGTGTGTGTTGGGGATGGGGGCGAGACGGGGGATGATGGCCGAAGATGGGAGGTTTTTAAAAGGAACTGTTAAGTTTCTGGCCAGAAAATGCCAACTAGTGGGGTGGGGGTGGGGAGGGGTTGCTGCAAACATCTCGACTCTAGAGGGCATTTCCCTTTCGGTGCCAGGAGACCCAGGGAGTCGGGACTGCGGCAAAGACCCGAGTCGCGGTTCGACCCGGGCGGGAGCGGCGCGCTCGCCGGGCAGCTCCTCGCTGGGGCCGTTGGGCGAGGACAGCGAGGGGCGCCGCGGCCGGGGACGCCGCCGCCGCCTTCCCGTGCCAAACGCGCCAGCCCCGGTGTCCCTTTGTTTCTGGGGTCTGAAGGGAGGGCGGCGGGGTTGAGGGGAACCCCCACCTGCATTTATTTGCACCGAGGGGACAACAAAAGACCTTGCCGCCCGAGTGGGCAGGGTCCGCGGAGCCCGACTGGCCGCGGCTCCCGGGCGCGCGCGGGCTCGGCCCCTCTCCCTCCGGTCCCGGCCGCTCTTACCGTCCCGGTCGCACAGCTGAATGGCCTCCAGGCTGAGGTTTTTGATCACCTCCTCACAGGGGCTGGTGGGGCTGTTGAGAGCATGATCCAGGCGCGGCACCTCCATTTTCCTAACCCCCTTCTCAAGCCACCTGCCTCGCAGCCAGGCTCTCTCCGCGGACCGGGTGGCAGCGAAGGGCGGGAAATGGAAGGGGAGTGGCGGAGGGAGGAGAGGACCGCGACGCGGCGCGGAGGGGTCGAGGCTCGAGCCGCGGGGCTAGAGAGCCGCGGCGGAGACGGCGGCTGCGTCAGAAGCTCCGCGGGGAGTGTGCGCCTCCGGGAGACCGAGAGGGACCTGGCGCGAGGGCGGGAGGCGCGCGCTCCTGGCGGGGAGGGGACGCGGAGTGCCCGGAACGTGAGGGAGGAGGCGCGGCGCGGCGCGCGCACGCTTGCGAGAGGACGCGCCCACCTGCCGGCGCGAGGCGCCCGGACTCCCGCGCGCACGCGCCCCCGGCTGCCCTCGCGCCACGGGCCCCGTAACCCCGCGGGTGAGGCGTCGGACGGCAGAGCGCGCGGGAACGGCTGGAGGCCGGGGTGCCGCGTGCGCGCTCACCTGGCACTGGCTCCTGGCGAGGGCGACCTGGCGTCCTTTCCCTCCTCGCAGTGTCAGCTGGAGCCCAGGTTGGCACTGCGGCGTTTCTGCGCGGGGAGGTGAGGGTGAGCAGGTTGGTGGTCAGGGGCTGGAAAAATAAGGCGAGTGCAGACCTTTTGTATTGGGCGCTTTGGAACCAGCGGGCTGCCTTCGCCCGCTCTAGGTCCCCGGCTGCTCGCTGCCCAAACCTTGCTTGTTCAGCGGGCCTTTCTGGTCAGCTTCGTCCGTGTGAGGAATGAGTGGGTTATTTGCGGGGTGGCACGGTTCAGGGACAGAACCAGTCCCCCTCCCCGCCTCCCTCCCTTCTCTGCAATAGGAAATGTGCTTCTGCAAGGTAGCCTGAACTTGTCTGCCCATTGTTTTCAGCGACAGTTAAGAGTGTGCAGTGCACTTAGTAAAGGTACAAATGCTTTAAAACATTCAGTAGTTGCAGGTCACACAGCGTGTTGACCTCTGTTACCATTTGCTTCTTTGGAGTAGTGTTTAGTTGTGTGGCCATCGCAGGATCCAAAAATAGTGACCTCCCTCCCCTTTGCGGTGTGTATTTGTGTTTGAAATTAAGGTTCCTTTTTATTGATTTTCCAATTTCAAAAATGTTTAACCCGTAAAGTAACAATTTACATATAGATTGCTATGTGCTCTTTTCTAGCCACATCCATGTAGTCATAACAGAATTAAATACACTGAGTGGCCAGATTATTATGACCACCCGACTTTTGTAGGCAAATTAGCTATAATTTCGTGCTGAAGTTGCTAGAGGGCCAGATCATTATAAACGTCTGAATAGCACAACATACCTAAGTATCGTTGCTGATCAGGTTCATCCTATCATGTTGATGGCGTATCCCAATGGAGATGGCTTCTTCCAACAAGACAATGCGCCATGCCATGGTGCTTGTATTGTACAGGAGTGCTTTCAAGAACACGAGGGAGACTTTCCCTTGCTTGGGTGGCCCCCACAGTCACCAGATCTCAACCCAATTTAGCATTTGTGAGACAAAGTTAAAAGAGCCATCAGGCAGCTGGTTCCACAACCATCAAATCTCACAGAACTGGACAGTGCTATTCATCAGGCATGGTGTCAGATTCCTCGCATCACCTTTCAACATCTCGTGGAGTCAATGCCAAGAAGAACTGCCGCAATACTGAAGGCAAAAGGTGGCCCAAACGAAGTACTGATGGGGTGGTCATAATAATCTGGCCAGTCAGTGTATAGTTAATTGAAGCTGGTAAAACAGAAGGACCAGCTTAAGGTAATAAGCCCGAGAGAAAACTTGCCACAACTGCAAGTTGTTAAAAAGTCTGTGGAAGATCATTGTGTTCTTAAAGAGAAGTGTCCTCGTTGTGAACTTAGGTTTGAGTGAAGATGGATCTCCTCTGTGTAGTTTTGTAAGGTGGGGGTGTCCACCAGGAAAGGGTAAATATTACTCTCACACAATCTGACCAGATGCCACTTGCTGGTGAGGTCCCTGTGTTCTATAAACCCCGGCTCTGGAGGACTACACATCGATGCCACCAGCCCAATCAACAGTGAGTTCGTCTTCCAGAATACTAGTACCAATTTTACAAATCTCAAAGGGAGCTAGGTTATCAATTGATTGATGTACAGCTGAAAACTATTCATTCCTGCTTATAATTAAACTGTACCGCAAACAAATATGTATTAATCACCTGCTACTGGTATGTCCAAGGACGATATGCTAGGTAGAGGAAATTTTGAGTTCAGGTCTACTAGGAAAGGCAGACATTGAAAAAACAAACAAAATTAAGATGAGTATTATGAGCCCTGGCTGGTGTTCCTCAGGGTGAGAGTGTGGGTCCAGGCACTGAAAGGTCACGGGTTCGATTTCTGGGCAAGGGCACGACGTGCCTGGGTTGCAGGTTTGATCCCCTGGGGCAGGTGCGGACGGCAACCAATCGATGTCTCTCTCTCACATTGATGTTTCTCTCTTCCCCCTCCCTCCCTGCCTTCCACATTCTCTAAAAAAATCAATGGAAAAAATATCCTCAGGTGGATGTGGAATAACAACAAAAAGTAGATGGGTATTATGAGAACTTGTGGAAGCACAAGATGGGTCCTAGCCTAGTCTGGTTAGTCATGAAGACATCTAAAAGGATTTTATTTTAAGGGAATGGGAAACTATTGAAAGTCTTTAAATGGCAAGTTCACATGATTAGGTTCTCGGGCCAGAATATTTTTGTAATGGGAACAGGGGGTAATGTTTTGAGAAACATTAATGTGGCTTTCTGGGCACAAGACCTATTCAATCCAAAGCACCTTTTTGCTGAGGATTTAGATTACATAAGAAATAGAAAAGAAAGAGTTAATATAGGATTTTTTTTAGCAAGTTGTTAGACTTCAGATCGAGACATTGTCAAGAGACTTGTGAATGCCAAATGAGGTAATACATATGAAAATGTTGTATAAACTGTAAAGCACCTCACAAAGTTAGGGTATTGTTATTATGGGACACTAAGAAAGCTTATCTGGTCAATTTTACACTAGAAATTTCTGGAAATATTTTAATACCTATATAGCTAATTTAAAAGAACTTACATATTTAGAATATCTCCATAGTTTAGTGCAGTGATTTTCAACCTTTTTACCTCATAGCACACATAAACTGATTACTAAAGTTCTGCAGCACACCAAAATAGGTATTATATTTTTTTGCTGATCTGACAAAAAAAGGTATAATTTTGATTCATTCACACCAGATGATATTGTTGTGTTGGTTGTTGTCACTGTTTTTTTTGTTTGTTTGGTTTTTTGGGGATTTTTTTGTAGACAGTCTAAGGGAAAAGAAGTTGTAAATTGTTGGTTTAGTGTGTAGGGGCCCTTTAAAATTACATCAGATTATGTTTGTTTTTGATTTTATCTCAGTAGTAAATTTTTGCCATGCTCATAAGCAAATACTCAATATTGAATTTCTCCACAATATTTGATTCCTACATTCCTAATTCTTTATTATCACATGATGGGAGATGGTGGAGACCTAGGATGACTTGATCCATTACAAGTTCATGCTGTCAAAATTCAGCTTGCTTGTTAGTTGAATGGCTATTGCAGACTTGTCTCTTTGAAAACCCCTGATCCACACTCAATTTCAAAAGATGATCTCACCTCTCTTTCCTGGGGAAAAAAGTGAAGACAAAGTGTTATTTCTAATTTGTTGTTGTTTTTAGTTCAGTGGGTCCTGTAAAACTTGCTACATTTCCTTCCCTCATATGTTCTCTCCATTCAGTGTACTGCAGAATAGAATTTGCTTCCTATTTTTACCTCCTCCAGCTGCATCAGTCTTTTTTTTCCTTTTCTGTCTTTAAAGATTGCCGAATCTCTTTAATTTTAAAAATTATCTTACTTGAGCCAAACAGTTTCTATCCATTTTCTTAATGTTCTAAGGTATGTAAAGTGCCCATTATAAATTATGGTGTGCTATAAAAGTTATTCATTACCTCCATTTCCTTTTAATCCTCATGCAATTTGTCATCTATCTTCACCACTTTGTTTCTTACCCTTCAAATGTCATCTTTGGATTTGATGAAATTTTTCACATCACAAATATAAAGGCCTTTTATCATCTGCATCCTCTTTGATATTACAACAGTTTATTTCTGCTGAACGTCTATAGCACTGAACTCTGCTGCATCTCTTCCTATATGTGTGCTTAATGTTTACCAACTCTAGCTTCTCAGCTGCCCTCTTGAGTGTAGGTATTATTTAAAGTTCAACCTCTGACATTATGTTCTTCCTTGGTTAAAGCCATTTTTCTCTGATAATGCATGTATTCCCATGAATTTTAACGTCTTCTTAATGTTTAAATTCTCACCATTATGATCAAATCCCTATCTCAAGTCCCCAACGATAAACAAAGCCCTTGCCCTATTTTCAATTAATGAACAATTTACATCCCATAACCATTTCTAACTAAACTATTCCTCCCCAAAATTGATCGCCTGTTCTAATTTCCCTCATTATAGTAACTGGCAGCAGTAGCAGTATCCGCTTAGTCCCTTAATATCACCCAACTTGGTTTTTTCTTTTCCTCTGTGAATCAAACTAGCCTCAAAACAATTAAAAGTTTTCAACATTTCTTGAATGTGTAATTTCCCCCCTGAAATTATACTGGTAAATACTACTAACACATTTAGGTTCTCAATGTTTTGACCAGATTATTGAAGTTTTCAGGTACATAATCTTTCTACCTCCCTTTTAAAGTCTATACTGCTACTAAAATCAAATCTTTAAAACACATTGTAATCAATAAATTACAATAGCTACTATTTTTGTTCTGTGGTTAATGGTAAGCTACTAAAGCTTTGTAGGCAGATATATGTCACTTGCAGTGATATGGGAAGATTAATCTGCCCATATCTCATAGGCTGAATGGAATGGAGGAAGACAGGAGTTTAGGAGAGTATTATAGTTCAGGCAAGTAATTATAAGGTATTCATAGACTAGGACAGTAGCATGCATTTAATTGGAATTTAACTTTCCTAACTCCATCCAAACTGGGCCTGTTCCAAGGTCCATAATGAGAAAAACTTCAGGGTGGGTAGAGCCTTATTAAAGAGATTACTCAGTCAATAACATCTGAATGATGATTCAGTGCTATGTATGTACTATATGTATGCAGGTATGCATATATATATATATATATATATATATATATATAGAGAGAGAGAGAGAGAGAGAGAGAGAGAGAGAGAGAGAGAGATGTGTAGGTATGGATGAAATCAATGTGCATTATTGAGTGGCCGTTAGGTTTTCTGTGATGATACAAGAGAGGCACTGTCCATGCCAACATCTCTCTCTACCCTAAGTTATTGCTGTTATTCTAGAATGCAGAGAAATTGAACTGCTTCTGGTTAACTAATTTTATCCAGAGGAGTGGGATCATAAAAATTAGCACAGTAGCTATTCATAGGAGGGGCTTCAAGTAGAAAGTGGAAATAGTGAGTGCCATGGAGACAGATAACGATCACCTTCTTTTCTTCATAAGAATGTCCCCATCATAGGACACATAAA